TGTGTGTATGTGTGTGTGTGTGTGTGTGTGTGTAGGCCGGGGTGGACCATGTGGTTCTGGCTGTGAGCTACATGTCCGAGCTGCTGGAGAGAGAAATGAGAATCCAGGAGAAGAGAGTATGTGCAACAAACACTGACACAGTATTACACCTGTGAAACCCACCAACATTAACAACACACACTGAATGTTTAAGGTGTGAACAGTTACTGTTTCAAAGTAAAAGCAGTCCAGCGCTTCAGTCAGAAATTGTATTAATTGCAGGCTTCCTGTCTGAAAACAGTTTGATAAATCAAGAGTGAAGACAGTTGTTGATTGCAGCTTTTAATTGGTTAATATTTTACAGCCTTATATACATTTGAGGGGTTTCTCACTCTCATGGCAGTTCAGTGTTTCAAGAAAATGTTTATTCACCCCAATATAAGCGGAGTTTTATATAAATGTTCATGGTGCTGCATGTCCGTCTGCAACATCCTGAATGTTTCTTTGTTCTCTCCTCAGCTCGGGATTCAAATCTCTTTGTCTCATGAGACGGAGCCTCTGGGAACAGGTGAGTTTCTCTTCACCACAGACAAATCCAGACAGAAGAGAAACTGCTCCATCAGGACTATGACTGAAAGTTTAATGTAATGAGTAGAAATCAGACTTTGATATGTGTGCTGGTGTACAGCGGGTCCGCTGGCGTTGGCACGGGAGCTGCTGGATGTGGACAACGAGCCTTTCTTCGTCCTGAATTCAGACGTCATCTGTGATTTTCCCTTCAAAGATCTTCTTCAGTTCCACCGCAACCACGGCAAGGAGGGAACTATCGTGGTGAGAAAGACCGAGACAAACAAAGTGGACTTGTTTAGCTGCAGACTGAAAACATAGACAGAAGGTCCAGTCAGAGTTTGGTGACTTTGAGCTGTCCTGCAAAAACGTTGACCGCTGTTAGAGAAAAGTTTTGAATATTTAGTCGTCACAACACGGAGGATCATTTTAGCCAGACTTGAATTATTTATACATCTCAGAAAATAGTCTATAATGTAATGATTGACTAATGTGTGTGTGTGTGTGTGTACAGGTGACTCGTGTGGAGGAGCCCTCTAAGTACGGTGTTGTGGTGTTTGAGGCAGAGACTGGGAGGATCCATCGCTTCGTCGAGAAACCACAGGTCTTTGTCTCAAACAAGATCAATGCGGGCATATACATCTTCAGTCCCAGCATGCTCAGCAGGATCCAGGTGAGAGGAACACACACACACACACACACACACACACACACACACACACACACACACACACACACACACAACAAGTGCTGTTTGTATGATAACTAGAAACATGTTGTGGTTGTTTTTGTCTCTGCAGCTGAGACCAACGTCCATAGAGAAAGAGATATTTCCTGTCATGGCAGAGGAGGGGCACCTGTACACCATGGAGCTACAAGGTGACTGTCACTACTACTGCTTTTAAAAAAACATGGCGGGAGAGGACCCGCTCCCCGATGTAAATATAAAGTCTTTAAATATAAAGGGCCCATTCGAGGGTAAAGAAAACAACAATTAGATGAAGCAAACTAGTGAAAACATCACAAGGATTATTTTATATTCAATATCTGCCAGTGGTACATCCAACACACGTTTAAAGGTCAGCAGGCACCTTCTCCGACAGATGAAGGTTGAATGTGGAAGTTTTTTAGTCTCAAAACTAGAGGTGGGAAATTCGTCCTCCTGACAAACGACGACTTGTCCTCGTCCTCCACCGTGTGAATTTGAAAGATGTGATTCTTATGTAAACGTCGGTAATCTTGTGCGGAGCAGAGGCTTGAGGGTTTCGCCTGTTTAAAAAAAGATGAACAGAACGACACCCAGCCACCACATCTTGTTTGCTTCACTCTAATGACAGTTTGACTTTAGTGTCCACATGTAACTTCAGGAAACCTCAGAAAGATTTCTTTGCAAAATCGTTCAAACTACAGCTGTTGCACGTCTTTATAGACGAGACGTGATATGAAAACGTGTCTTCACTGCTTTGATGAAACATTCAATCTACCAGACACAGCACAGTGGTAACATGGTGTTAGATAATAATTTTGAAGTTGACCTGCTTGCTCACTTTGGTCACTGCAGCTCACAGCCCAACCAGACGTAAGTGTTTTCCTAGTTCGTAGTTCTGGAGAGGAATAGTTTGTAGAGAAGCACAGATAGAGAGATCAGCTGTACTTCAACCACATGTTAAATCAATCAGTCTGGATTCTCTTTCAGACAGAAATAAATTTAGATCAGAACACACCACTGTTCAAATCTGTTATCGGTGCTTCTCTAGAAACTCATCCCTCTCTGGGAGCGATCGTCTGAAACAGCGGAGCCACGTAGCTGAGTCCTGTAGTCCAGGTGCACAGACTGGTCTGAGTCTCTGCTCCAGCTCATAGTGGCTTTGTTTCCCTCGTGAGTCTGAAACGCTGAGCAGCTCCCTGCTTTTAAAACTGTAACACCATGACTGGATGTCTGTGATTTCCTGCAGCAGATTTGATGAGTTTTGTAAAACCTGGCTTCAAATTGAGCTGGACCTGCTGTCAGAGCAACAAACGACGACAAGATTTAACTTCACATGACGTGTCAACTGATTTTCAGTTCAAGTGATTTCTCTCTCAAATACAACATCTGGGTAAATCACAAATATCACAAAGGTGCAGCTGAACAACTGCAACAGTCTTGTTTTCATTATTTAGATGGGGTCAGGCTTCTAGACACAATAAAATAAGTACAATTTTAAAATAGTTTTAAATTGAATAACGTCACAACAGTCTGCCTCTGTCAATCATCATGACATCATTCTTCAGCACTTCACCTGCTGGAGATCACAAGAACCTACTGGTTTTGTGTCTTTGTTTCCATGGTAACTAACTGCTCTCACTGGTTTTATCTCTGTATCTTGTCTGTTTGTCCATCTGTCTGTCTGGTCACCTGTCTGTCTTTCCATCTATCTGTCCCTCTGTCTGTCTGTCTGTCTGTCTGTCTGTCTGTCTGTCTGTCTGTCTGCAGGTTTCTGGATGGACATCGGTCAGCCTAAAGACTTCCTGACAGGGATGTGTATGTACCTTCAGTCGCTACGACAACATGCTCCTGAGAGGCTACGCACGGGGCCCGGTTTCCTCGGCAACGTTGTGGTGGTGAGTGCGGCTCGTCGAAGCCATGGTTCCGTTCGACAAAAGAACCCTACTCCACAATTATTGATTGTCATTCCTCTCTGTCTTTCCTCTGCAGGACCCAACAGCTCAGATCGGGGAGAACTGCACCATCGGGCCGAACGTGACCATCGGCGCTGGCGTGGTCGTGGAGGACGGCGTCAGGATAAAGCGCTGCACGGTGATGAAGGGGGCGCGGGTTCGATCGCACTCCTGGCTGGAGAGCTGCATCGTGGGGTGGAGCTCCTCGGTTGGTCAGTGGGTGAGTAGAGGACGATGGTCACTGGCTCTTTGTCTGATAAAACACTATCTCATCTCCTAAAACCAGACGAGGATCAAAATCAGACTTTGTGTTAACATCCGCCCTGAGATCCGTCTGAAGTTCTCTGACCGGCTACGATGTCACTGGTTTTCCCTGTAAACTCATTGACTACTTTATTTTTTTCCAGCAAAGAAAAGTTTCTTAAATCAGACCCTCGCCTGACGCTGTGTGTGTAGATACAGAGCTTGTTATAGTTGTTGTCAGGTGCGAGGACGACTCATCTCTGTGTTAACGTCTGTCGTCAGGTACGAATGGAGAACGTGACGGTGCTGGGGGAGGATGTGATCGTGAATGACGAGCTTTACCTGAATGGGGCCAACGTCCTGCCTCACAAATCCATCAACGAGTCCGTCCCAGAGCCGCGGATCATTATGTAGCTGCGGGTGGGGGAGGGGAAGATTTTTTAATGAACTTAACTGAACGCCCAAACTGTGCCAGAGAGAGAGAGAGGGGGAGGAACAGACGGGCAGAAGGAAGGAGGAGGAGAGAAAAAGGAACAAATGAAGTTTTTTTTTTTCCTTTAATTAATTTGGACTCGTTTTTCGTTGCACTGCTCGACTGCACCTTCCATCAGTCTGACACGATGGCGTTAGCAGGATCTGTCAAAACGCAGCCTGGCCCGTCAGGCTCATTAAAGTTGTTTCACCGCTTCAGGTAAAACGCTCTGAGTCCTGAAAGTGGCATCTGGTGAATGTGTCATGTGAGGCAGAGGGGCGAGGCTGGTGGAGGGACGAATACTGAGGATGTTTAGGGACAAGGGGGTTAGAGAGCGAGATGATCACTGCTGTTCAGATTCACTATGCATTTACATTTCCTGTACCGGAGACTGGAACCTTGGCTGACGACACTGAGATGAAACAAAATGCTGCGTTGGTTATAGTTAACGCGAGACAGTCACTTTTATTTGTACCTGCTGGAATTCAAAGTATACAATCTAGAATCACTTCAGATCATCTGAGGTATTTTGTCCTGTGGACCAGCAGAGGGCGCTCACTAACAGTAAATCAATAATGCTTTAATCAACTTTTGGGAAACAGGACGGCTCGAAAACTTCAACAGAACAAACTGTAAACTCAACATCTGAAGTTCTTGTGGTGAATGATGTGAAACAGAGAAACTTCATCGTTGAACTTTGTTTCTGACTGGAGAATGTAGTTCTGTTGATTTTTATACAACAGTACTTGTTTCTGTTCTTTCTTTTTATCATTTAAACTTTAATTCAATGCCAAATATCTGTGTTTTAGAGTCAGACATTAAGAATACAAAAGGGATATTTTACTATTTTTTTTAATCAGGTGTCTTTTAGCTTTCATCTCCAGGTGAGGCTTCACTCTTTACTTTCAGAAGAATCCTATCGATGATTAGAGGCACTTCAAGGGTAAAAAATCTCTCGATTTTAGAAAATGTCATCTGTATTAATTTGAGGGAACATGGAGCAAAGTTATACGTTTCATAATTAACGTAATACTCGATCTTGATATGACCCTAATACTCTGTCGGGCTCATGAATGAACCACGTCAGGATGATTCATCCAGTCGTTGATGAGAATCTCAAGTTTACTACTGAGCTACGTGAATAAACATTAAACTTAGAGTGTGTTAGAATCAGATTTCACTCTAATGAAGGTTTACAGATTAACCTCGCCTCTTGTAAGAACCAGTCATTTTTAATGTTTAACAGAAATCATGTTGAGTAAAATGAATCAAGTGACAGTAGAAGGTTTCTGGAGCACAGACCTGGTTTATCCTCCATGTTGAACTGGCAGCAGATGAATTCAGCTGAACACGATGCAGTGGTTCTATGGTTGTTATGCAGTTAGTGATAAAACAATATTTAGAATACTGAACATGTGAAGACTTTGTGTCTGAATGAATGAAGTCAACTCTTGTAATAAAGTCTTTTTTATAAAGAGTATAATATAATCAACTGACATTCACGTCTCGTCTCTGTTTGTGTGTGATGTTTTCACACATGATGATGAGTTTACTGCTCAAACACTGAACACACTTGAATAATGTTTTGTGGAGCAGGAGGAGACGGTGGTGGATCTTAACGAGGTGCGACATCTTCCATTCTTAACCCTCAACAAGAGTAAAACTAACAAAAAAAACTATTAACGGGGAAAAACTCAGAAACCTCAGAGAGAGTCACATGTGAGGATCCTCTCCCAGGACGGACAGAAGTGTAATCATGCTTCGTGTCACTGAGAACATCAAGAACATAAAAGTATTTACAGCATTGATTCGAAGTGCCATTGTCTGAGGTAGTTTATACAACGGGGGCTACACCTCATTAAGCCCAATGAGACTAATTGTGATTTGTTGAAAACATTGAGTGTGAACAAGAAAGAAAGGATGAATTAAATTTGAAAATAACTTTGGTTGAAATCTGAGAAATGAAGGATCCAGTGTTTCTGGAGCTTGACTCGTAGTATATCGAGTGTTCCTGTCAGTCTCACAAGCAAAGTGAAGTATATACAATAAACTACTGTAGTACTTACATACAACAAATCTGAGCGACTTGGTAGAATGAAAAAAACATCAAGTAAACTATAAAAATGATTCCCTCCCTCCAAAGTCGAGTCAGATCATACACTGTATGTAAAGATGGATCTCAGCATCCCCCCACGGTTCAGAAATGAAAAGCTGAGGGGAAAAGGAGATACAACATTCGTATCTTGATCTTCCTGATCGAACCTCCAGGAACTAAACAGTCTGAATAATGTCTCAGATCCAGATCTCTGAACTGCAGCTCTTGTTCTGAACATAAACACACTCAGTAAAGTGAGCTGAAGGTTTTGGCCTTGCTTGGCACGGTGGTGAATTACATTCTTCAGAACCACACAGTGAAAAGCTGCAGAATGAGAGGAGGAGGAGGAGGAGGAGGAGGAGGAGGAGGACCATCTGATGTTTCTATTGGCCGATCACTCCTTCAGTCTCCTCTGTGACTGGCTGGCAGAGTGAGAGCAGGGAATTCCTCAGGGTTTCTCTGTCTTTGTCTCAGATTAAAAACACAAACAGACCAGTCAGGCCTCGCTGCACCAGGTATCGTCCTCCGCTCCACTGAAGACCAGGACTGAACTAACAGTCTGAGTCATTACCAAGTGCACAGCTGCTGGTTATAACTCCTAACTCGCCCTGATCACAGCCGGCTCACTGCTCTAATGTCTGTGGCTGTAACTTTGCAGGTTCCTGCAGAATTTACCAAAACAGAGAGAAACCACAGAGGTGAATGAAGGAGCTGCTGGGAGACAAGTAACATTCTCCTCAGTGGCATGTTGCTGCAAAATCAGGAGGTGAAGAAACCTGCTCACTTCAAGTTGGGTGGAGGAGAAGGAGAAGGAGGGAGGAAAAAAGGCTGGAGACTGAAGAAAGTTGGGTTTTTTGCCGCTGTGAGTTTGTCAAAGTGGCAAAAGGGAAAAGCTGAGGGTGGAACCAGGTGGAGGAGCGAAAAGGACAGATGCAGTTGCAGTGAGAGTGAAAAGTGAAGAGGAGGGTTGGTGCTCAGCTCAGCAGGACTGAGATGAGATGAACGTCTAGACGGTTAAATTTGCTGTGGGCTGTGCTGAGCCATCAGAGCAGGAGCGACTGTGGGCGGGGAGAGAGGAAGTGTGGTCGACAGGAGAGGAATCTAAAGTCCCATTGTTCTGGAGGAGCGGAGCCAGAGAGGAGCCGAGGAGTCGAACCGCCGACAGACGCTGTACGACATGGACGTGAGCTCAGCCGTGGCAAAGGTAGGATGGAAACAATCTCCCCTCTACATGAGCTGTTAAGTGGAGGTCAAGGGTCAGAGGTCATCTGAGATCTGGAGAAACACTCTTAGAATTTGAGTTCAGAGAACTTCACTTCATAAATATGAAGAATCTTAAAATGTTAAATATGATAATATGATAATGTGACTGAATGAATGAATGGATGAAATGAGTCCTGCCTGCATGAGCTTGTTTTATTATTTTAATTACTTCAGTTCTTAATGAATCCTAATATATTGTAAACATACAATATGTTCTTCAATGAAGAGCACTTTCTTTTTATATTTCCAAGAAACAGAGGAGGTTATTTCTTTTTCACAGATATGTTTTATATTTACTAAAGAATTCTACCAAATAAACCTGCGAATTAAATCATTCTTCTCAAACTTGAAGTAATAAGAATAAAATAATCATTCCAGTCTTTATTATTATTATTTCAGGATCATTCAATCTCATTTATTTGTACAGTGTGAACTCATCAAGTCTTAGAGTTTTAGATCTCAACTGTGCAACTTAAGATATTTGACTTTTAGACAGACGAGATGTAACATGTGGTTTATGGACAGACTTTTACATCCTGGACTGAAACATTGCAGCTACTTAACTAAATGAAAATCACTCCCCAAAACATTCAAATTATCGTTTAGTGAGCTTCTGGATTTGTTTTGCACAGGTCCGATTTAGCCCATAGATTTTAATTTTACAGATATCGAATCCTTCCACCAAGTTTCGTTGTAATCCGTCCTGTACGTTTTGCATAATCTGTCTTAAAACCAAACAAAGGAAAATGTCAAGTCTGATTAGTTTGTTGGAAACAGCTCAACACCGGAGCAGAAACTTAACAAAAAAGAAAAAAACTGTTTTGTTACGAGAGAAAGTTGCAAAAGTTACTAAGCAAAACTTCCCTTTCAGCTTTTTTTAGATTGTCACACGTGTTCTACAGTTAGAAATATTCTAAATTCAGTTTGGATGAATCTCTTGGGCTCGTTCACGTCCAATTTCTAATTCAGTCTGTGACAGTAATCCATGACCTCGCGGACCTGATCCCCGCGTTGGGTCGGCTCTGGTGTCTCCCACAGATCCCTTCCTAATTCAGCCTCTGGTCGTCCGTCCAGAGGTCGCATCAGTCTGAGGCCCATAACCTGACGGATCAGTGTCACCTGTCGAGGGTTTCATCCCCTTGTTCCCCCCTTTATGGAAAAGGTGTCATCACCAGGATGGAAATAACCCACAACAAACACACAAACACACACAAATGAAGCCACCATGCTCCTGATACACTGCGGCTCCTCTCTGAGTGTTTTCACTTTGGGTGTAAATTCACTGAACCTCGTGAAGATGTTTCCTCACACGTTCCTCTAGCATGTTGTGTCGTTAGTTTTTGACTCTTTTTTAAGATACAAAAGAAAAGCTGGGGCCTCTTTGTTGGTTTTGTTGCCTCTGGAGTAACGGAATCATCCAGAAGTTTTTGAGGCTGTGGGTTTGATTCTCTGCCCTGTATCAACCCTCGACTGTGGGTTTCATTCCTCGGAACAAACAGAAATAAAAAAGAATAAATACTCCCAGACTAGATAATGTTGAATTCATTATTTGTCAAATATTTCTCTGGAAGATTTGTTCTGTTTGAACAGTCCTGGAAATTAAAAAGAAATATTGAAAGACATGAATGTTTAGAAAGATAATAGATAATCCCACAAAGTGCTCGTTGATGCATTTTGATGGAGAAAAGGAAATAAACCAAAACCCACATGTTGCGGCACACATTGGCACTACAGCTTCTAAATTCTTCCACGTCCATGAATTGTTCTCTGAGGAACTTGTGAAATTGTCTTTTAAAATACTAATAATCCAGAATCTGCCCCTTTGTTCAGATTTCCCCCAAATACTTGGTTCCTTTAGACCCATAATGCACCTCCACCAGTTTCAGGAGTGCAGTGAAGACTCTCAGACTGTGGGGATGTCAAACCGCAGCAGGTCAGCTCACCCCGGTGACCTCCAGCCTCTTATCTCGGAGCCTTTCCGGCAGTTTCTCCGTCACATAGCCGACATGTTTGGAGTAACTCAGCGAGGCCGAGTCCGATCCACCAACAACAACATACTCGTCTTATCTGAATCCTAAATATAGAGCTGCCAACCTCATTCTCCAGAAAAAAAAAACCTGCTTCTAGTTCTTTCTAGTTCAGCTCTTTTAAATCTCTCTTAGTTTCAGTCAACGCTTCGTCCTTTTATTTCAACTCTTGTTATGGTTGAGAAAACCTCAATATTCGACAGTTTTGTTTTCATCTGTAAAATGTTGTGTCACAAATCTTTTTTATTCTTTGTCTTTTAAACGTTTTGAGGCTGAGATCAAAGTTAAAACATCAAACGTTTCATATTTACATTTTCTTTGGGATTAGTTTGTTGTTGTGCTTTAGTTTATAAAGATAAACAGGAAGTTTACAATGAGTGGATTTCAAAAAGAAACTTAAGATACCAAAAAGAAGATTTGAAGATTTGTTCAATGCAGCTGGATCACGGCCCGAGACATCCAGCGTCACCTGCATCACGTCGTCAGTGTTCTGTCTAATGAGTAATATGTTCATCTCTTATTTAGAGGAAAGTTTAGATCATGTCTGAAGTTCCTGTGACTCAATCTCCTCCGACCAGAGTCACATTGAGTCACTGGTAAAAAACTACTTTCAACAAACACATTTCCAAACAAACAGGTTTCACCTGTTTTATCTACCGGAAGAATAAAATTCCACCGAAATACGAGTTTCAGTGGAACGCTCCTTTTTAAAGCTGCTTGTTTCAGGTATGAGCTCCAGAAAATTGGACATTTCCTGGAGTTTGTCTTTCACATCTGAAGAAGCAGCGGGAGATTGTTCGGATCAGACGCGTTCATAACGACAGGAAAGTGTCCGGAGCGCTCAGGTGAGGGGTGGAGCCTGGGTAGAGCGGCAGGAGGAAGGTCGTGACGTTTAAATCCAGCTGTGGAAACCAGGTGTTTTTATTTACTGCACATCGACGTCGACCCTCATCGTCAAAACCTTCGTCGACATCTTCTTCGTGTACGGCTCCTCTTTTTCATTTCTGTTCTTTATGTACGAAACATCAACACTCGCTGTGAATTTTCCCGCCGTAGACTCAGACATTCTGAAGGATTTGAGGAAAATATCCGTATTTCATGGCTGAAAGCAGATGATCAGAGCCGGAGTGTGTGAACTGGTGTCAGTGTGGCAACAGTAAACACTCACACTGTGTTCGAGTCAGTGTATCCCAGAGGGGTGTAATGAAGTCTTGTTGTTCTTCAGCTGCTTCTATCCCAGCCGTCATCACTTTGACCTTTTCAACACGGGCCGATCAGCGGCCTCTTCACTGTCACACACACACTTCACACCTCTGAACACACACTCCTCTGTTCTCCCTCGCTGCCAATGACGGCTCGTCTCTCCTCGCGTAATACCTCACAATATGTCATGTGTGTCAATCAACCTCGTTAACGTTAGACGTGAGCAACAACACGGAGAGCAACACGAGCAGGAGTTTCCTTTTGTGTTGGTGAACAGAAGATTAGATCAAAACAAATAGGGCATTTAATACATGGAGGAATATAAATAAAGATGTGTAGAGATATATGAGGAGATAGAGATGTAGAGAGAAAGATAGATATGTGGTGAGATAGAGGTATAGATAAAGTGAGATAGAGATGCATAGAGATACGAATATATATAGAGAAAGAGATATATAGATAGATAGATAGATAGATATAAAGATAGATAGATGGATAGATGGATAGATAGATGGATAGATGGATAGATAGATAGATAGATGGATAGATATTGACCTCGTTCATCACTGTGACCCTGAGATGAGATCAGATGAGGCTGTTTTAGCAGCTTCATCTCTCTGTAAGAACCTTTGTCTCTCACTATAAATAAACATTATATTATGAATGACTCCCTGAGGATAGACTGTTGATACCTGGTGACAGATGCACAGTAATAGCAGCAGGTTTCATGCCCGAGATTTTCTACACACACACACACACACACAAACACACACACACACACACACACACACATTGAGAATCATGTTTCCATCACTCCAGATGACATAAGAGTGTATTGAGGATCAGTTATTATTCATTTTAACCGAAAGGGGGGAAAAGAGAAGAACAGGTGAACGAGAAAAGAAACCATGGTGAGGAGCGAATTAAAAGAGAGAGCGAGAGAGAGAGAGAGAGAGAGAGAGAGAGAGAGAGACAACTTAAACATAAAAGAGGAAAAAAGAGTCAGTTAGTGGAGGTGAGGGGGAGGAGATGAAGAATGAAGTGAACAATAAGACTCTGGAGGGTTTGTGAGTACAGATGATATCACCATCCACTGGGTGGACCAGTGAGATCATCCACCCGGTGTGTGTGTGTGTGTGTGTGTGTGTGTGTGTGTGTGTGTTCCCTCCCTGCTCTTCCTCCCACACTCGCTGGGAAATGGTCTAAATTCTTTCTCATCCAAAACTTCCTCACCCATCGTCATCATCAACATCTTCATCAGTCAGGATTTCATGTTTTCCTGCCGACCTCTCCTCTGTTTACTCTGCTGCAGAGAGAGAGAGAGAGAGAGAGAGAGAGAGAGAGAGAGAGAGAGAGAGAGAGAGAGAGAGAGAGAGAGTGTCAGGAGCAGGATATCATAGTTTTTACAATTCTCACATTGTGAAATCGCGACGTTATCAAACCGCGGTTAACATAACACTGGTGAATGCTGACATCCATACTCAGGAGTCAGTTTAAAATGCAAATATTAATTTAAATACAGGAATTATAGCTAAATACAGGAATTATAGCTAAATACAGGAATTATA